TTGAGAAATCGACTTTCCACTTGTCCTTTGGTTAGGTTACTAAGTTATCGTTGTGAACTGACCAATCTACCTATCGACGGTGATCCCGTCATAGTAGACATACCAGATGAGGAGTGGTCGGAGACGTGTGTGCGACTAGTAGGATAGGCTCTTATTGATCTTTTCGGTGGTGCCATTAGGATTAGTTGGCTTAGGGATGAATTCAATCATCTCCCGTCAAATGCATCATCAGAGACTACACAGTAGTTTGCACGAGCTTATGCTCTGTCTCTGATGGGAGGTGTACTGTTCCATGATTAGACTGGAGTTATGGTTCATCTACAGTACCTACTCTTGGTGGAGAATTGGCAGAGAGCTGGACGGTTCGCCTGGGGAGCAACTGTTTTACCCTACTTGTACGGTGAGATGGGTAGGTCGGTTTTAAACATGACGCAGTCATCTTCCATAGGAGGTGACCTTGGTGGATGGATTAACTTAAATCTATCTGATGATGCGTAATTCTAATTTCACTTCATCTAGTAAAATCTATATAATCTAAACATCTATTTAGTCTAAACTAGTACTAATTTAAAAAAAATTATACGTAATTCTAATTTCAGTTCACCTAGTAAAAATTTAAACATCTAATCCCAAACTAGAAAAACTCACTTTGAGTTTAGGGATAATCAGGCTCGAACTGATGAATTTCACCACGTCAAGGTGACACTCTACCGCTGAGTTATATCCCTTCCCTTGCCCCCATTGAGAAACTAGCTAATGAACTTTAAATACGGGTAATGTCTATTTTTATCCAAATATTTTTCTGATTCTTTTATATTATCCAAACCTATCGAATTACTAAAAATTAGCCAAATGTTAACTCCCAGTTAGCAATTTTGTTAGTAATATTGACTTGGAAGAGACTCATGAAGGTCAACATTCTAAAACTTTATTATTTTAACTAATTGAAGAGTTACAAAATTATTAACGATAACGTAAAAATGGCTAATATTTTGATACATTACGAAATAGTTGGATAATTAATAGAATTTTAATAGGTTTGGATAATATAAAAGAATCTGAAAAATGTTTGGATAAAAAATAAACATTACCCTACATTTTTTTATGAAAGACTTACCTCATTTTGCCAAACTGAGTCGGCACGATATTGACCATGTGCCTAAAGAAATAACGAATCGGCGGAGCTGGATCAATTGTTGTATGTGGTCGCCTCATTGAATAAGTGTCCATAATCCTAGTAAGTGAAAAACAACAAACAATACAAAAAAACAATGTTGTCAGAACCGAACCGGAGCATGACCCGGTAATGCGAACGGCTCGCACTTTAGTGGTCCAACCGACATTAGACCGTTTAAAAATCGTTTGAGAACCGGTACCTAATAAACGTTATCAGTATAAATAGTGGACATTTCTTAATCAGAGCTCGTCTCTTTCCTTTGAAATTGTAAAATAGAAATAAGGATTCAGTTTGAGAGCACGACGTTTTTGGTTTATTTCAATTTTTAATTTTTTGTAATTTTTTAATTAAATTTAACGGCTGAATTGCAAAAATCGGAAGATCGGCTCGAGCGGTTAACCGCCTCGGCCGCTCGTTAACCGCTACATAAAACTGGAGCGGCTTTTAGACTGTTCTGAGCCGGTTTTGTGACCGGATGGCTGTTTTACTGGTCAGGCCGAGCGGCTCGGCTTTGATAACACTGCAAAAAAAAACTAATTAAAAGGGGAGAAGAAGGTGTTTTGAGTCTCTACTGCGAGGGGTTGGTGAAAACAAAAACGAAATAAAATAGGATAAACGAATATGCGTAAGACTAGCGCGGATCCGCTTTCATTCTGAAGTAAAAGGTTTTAAAAGTGGATCCGCCTGATTTTGGCTCGTGTTCGCTTGTTTTGGGGTTATTTTCGCTGCACACACAGACTCGCGGTTTTTATCCTACAAAACACAATATTTGTGTCAATAGTTTTAAAACCACTATTCGTGGTAATATTAAAAAATATTTTGGGAATTAACCCAAGTCTTGATGGGCACTCGAGGAGGTGACGTTCCAAGTACCAGATGATGTGTTGTCGTGGTATGTACTCGGGCAGGGATCGTGGTGCATCTCCAAAGGAGGAGGCACGCGCCACGTCTCAATCGGTCGGACCTCGGACACATGTGGTCTTTCCCTTGCACTGTTGTTAGGCTTTCTTTGGTATGACGGTAGCGAGTTAGGGACATCAATAGATACCTGAGGTGTAGGCGATGCGGGCATTGGCGGGTATCTATGATGATCACGCCTACGCGCACTAACTCAGTTAAGGAGACTGTTTGTATCCTCCTCAAGAGCGACACATCTTTCCAAAGTCTCCCCACCATGGGCTATAGTGTCAATATATTCGATCCCATCAATCTAAACCGCACCAATTAACCAAGTTAGGAAACTAAAAGTAATGTGGTACATAACTACTAATATGTTAATAAAAGTGAAGAATTGAATTGACTATGAGAAAAATGACTTACAAATACACCATCCGCCGCACCTTCCGAAGTCATGTACCAGACCGATTGTTTTTGGTATTGGTCTGTGTATGGGTCATGATACCCCATTGGTTTCACAGCTCGAAGAGTCACAATGTATTTATCTTGTCTATTGTTCCACCGCTCGCTGAAGTCACTCAACTTGATGGGCCAATCACGAGAACCTTGGCGACCATTTTTTTCGTGGAAGGCCTTATTGTCGTAAGTATCGATCCGGCATGTGCCACTCCACAATATGGTGACAAATGAGTGGGACTCTCATGCACCATTGTTAGGGATGCAACGAGAATCGCCTCATGTGCCACTGCATGACGTGGGAAAGGTAAGGATCGAATATGAACTACAAAATAAATTACCTTAATTAAGTACTACAAATTCTAGACTGCACGTCGAAAAAAATAAAGGAAGAAGATGTATTGTGATGGTTACCTCTTCTTCCCAAATTCTGCCCAAGCTCCTATGATACTCTGCCAATTTGTGCTCGAACTGGTTGTCGCATGTTGTTGCTCCAATCCACCTTATACATAAGGACAAGCATAAAATGTTATAACTAACTAAGTAAGTAACTAACTATCCACTCAAGCAGTACAAAAAAAGGTAATTGTTATGAGTGAGATTGAGAAGTTTACCTACAACAATAAGATTCTTGTCTTAGTGGATGGTCAGCCCCCATTTCATGCCGAGACACTCATACATCAAAATCCATGGTCGATGCTCCCAAGACCAAAATTGGACAATGAACATTTTTCCTCCAATCTCCTTCACCGCTTTCGGAGTTGTACTACACATGGAGTTGTAGATATGAGCTAGGCAAGCGGATGCCCAACGCAGGTTCCCATATCCTTCCAAGGACTAAGGAGGATCTTCATCCATGCATTGCTAATTAAGTTGGATTTTTAGGGGGAAAACACTCCTCCGATAATGCCGATGAGGCAGACATGCCCATACATTTCCTTGTTCGCCTCTTAACTTTTCTCGATGAGTGGCATGCGATCATGAAAGAACACGGATCTAGGTGCGCGATTTAGGGTTTAGGATCGATATGAGAATTGGGGATTTGGATGAGGAAGAAGTGGGATTTAGGTGAGAGAGAAGTAGAGGTTGGACTTCAGAAAGAGAGTGGCCGACGGCCAGGAGGTGAAAAAGAGGGGCTCGGCTAGGGTTGAGAGAGAGATAGACTCTAGGGAATAATTATTGTGTTATTGCTTGACCTCTAACCTTCTCCTAACACAATATATATATAATCCAACTAATTTCCTCTAACTACTCGAATAATTAACCTAACCGAATAATCCCCAATAGTTCCCTACATACCCAACATAACATCAAATATCCCGAATAATGATTAACGACAAATAAACTCCAAAAGAATACGTTTCTGAAACATCATCATTAGGTTTGTGCTTCTTCTTGATCGTCGTTGTTTACCAAGTGATTGATACTTGATTCTTTCTCAATGGTGGCTTGACATTCTCTGCAAGCTCTCTTGTTGCCTTGTTTGACACGAACGACCCCAAAGTCCACAGTAGCAGAACTTGCAATAGGGTTACAAGCAATGTGCTCTCATATAAGGATGATATCTTGCCGTATCTCAAAAGGGAAAGGTTGGATTCGATAAGGCACTTTGTCGGCATAAATGTCGATTGTCAACTCATCACAACATTGGTGGATAGATGGCTAAATGAGACACACAACTTCAATTTTCGTGAAGGAGAGTGTACCATCACATTGAAGGACATCGCCATCCTAACCCATTTGCCCATTGATGGCGAAGTGGTGTGTGTGAACGATCATACACCACCTTCATATGAAGAAGAAGGTTTGAAAGGTTGGCAAGTTCTGCTCCAATGGACTTTGGGATTGGTCATGCCAAACAAGGCAAAATGAGAGCTTGCGGAGGATGGGAATCCACCATTGAGGAAGAAACCAATATCAATCACTTGGTTGACAGCGACGATCAAGAAGAAGCACAACCCTGATGATGATGGCATCCCCCTCACCGAGGAAAGTGATGAGGTGGACAAGAAAATTTATACGTGTGTCTACCTCATCGATATGATCGGAGTAGTGTTCTTGCCCAAAAAATCCAACAACCTAATTAGCAATGCATGATGAAGATCCTCTTTGATCCTGTGGAGGATATTGGGAACCTGAGTTGGGCATCCGCTTGCCTAGCTCATATATACAACTCCCTGTGTAGTACAACTCTGAAAGCGGTGAAGGATAATGGAGTGGTGATGTTCATCGTTCCATTTTGGGATTGGGAGCATCTGCCATGGATTTCGCCGTATGAGTGTCCCGACAAGAAATGGGGACCGACCATCCACTAAGACAAGAAGCTTATGGTTGTAGTAAACTTCTCAATCCCACTCATACCAACTGCCCTTTTTTGTACTACATTATTTGATTGTTAGTTACTTAGTTAGTTATACCATTTGACGCTTGTCCTTCTGAATAAGGTGGATTGGAGCCACAACATGCGACAACCAGTTCGACCACAAATTGGCAGAGTACCATAGGAGGCTGGATAAACTTCGGGAAGCAGACAACGACGATCAAGAAAAATCACAACCCTGATTATGATGACATCCCACTCACTGAGGAAAGTGATGAGATGGACAAGGAAATTTGTATGTGTGTCTACATCATTGACATGATCGGGGAGTGTTATTCCCCCAAAAAATCCAACAACCTAATTAGCAATGCATGACTTAAGATCACCTTTGGTCCCTGGGAGGATATGAGGAACCTGAGTTGGGCATCCGCTTTCCTAGCTTATATCTACAACTCCTTGTGTAGTACAACTCTGAAAGTGGAGAAGGATACTGGTGTCGCGATGTTCATCGTTCAATTTTGGGCTTGGGATCATCTGCCATGGATGTCGCCGTACGAGTGTCCCGACAAGAAATGGGGATTCGACCATCACTAAGACACGAAGCTTATGGTTGTAGGTAAACTTCTCAATCCCACTCATACTAATTGCCTTTTATTTTTGTACTACATGATTTGATAGTTAGTTAGTTACTTAGTTAGTAATACATCTTTGATGATTGTCCTTATGAATAAGGTGGATTGGAGCCACAACATGCGACAATCAGTCCAACCACAAATTGGCAGAGTATCATATGAGGTTGGATAGACTTTGGAAAGCAGAGGCAACCACATAATACATCTTTTTTTTTTTTTTTTTTTTGTACGTGCAGTCTGGAATTTATAGTACTTAATTGATGTCATCTCTTTTGTAGCTCATATTCGATACGTACCCTTCCCACGTCGTGGGGTGGCACGTGAGGCAATTCCCGTTGCATCGCCAACAATGGTGCACGAGAGTCTCATATTGTGTAGTGGCACGTGCCAGATCGATGCTTACGACAATATGTCGTGAGCAATGCTTACCCTTAGAGCCTCTCGAAAGCCATAAGTCCTTTCACGGAAAAGATGGTCGACAAGGTACTCGTGATGAGCTCATCAAGTTGAGGGACTTCATCGACCGGTGGAACAATAGACAAGATGAAGACATTGCGACTACTCGAGCTGCGGAACCAATGGGGTATCATGACCCATACATGGACCAATACCGAAAACAATCAGTGCGGTGCATAACTTTGAAAATGGAACAACGTCGTGGCCCTCACGATGGTCTTCCATATTGATCCATCTCGTAGAACATAATTTTAAAGGAGAGTGAGTGAAGAGCTGAGTTTTCTGAGGCTGCGCTTTTTATGCCTCTCTGTAATTCTTCATATGAAGATCAACGATCTCATGTTGACTGAAAAATCACAAATTCAGTATCTGATACTTTGGAAAGTGACAAAATTCATGTTTTGTCCGTAATTCACTCGTTAGTCCATCTTCACTCTACTATCTATGCTCTAACTGCCAAATAGTGCATCTAGTCCATTTATAGATAATGAGAAAGTGTCATAAAACCGCAGTGCCCGTCTGATGCAGGGTTGAAATGGTGTACCACTAACTCGCGAACAAACTGTGCAAAAAGCTAATGCATGGGGCATTTGGGGACCTATTGACAAACATATATAGCAGTGCAGTCAAAATCGCGCTTTAAATCGTAGAAATGTACGTTTTTACGTATTTAGGTCACTAAAACGAATCAGTTTCCACCTAGTATTTTTAGTACATGAAATCGATAAAATCGTTCGTAGAATCGGTAAAAAAACAGACAAAATTGCGTTTTTAAAGCGATTTTGTGCGATTCTAGTGCATGACCATAAAATTTCTAATTTGACTAAAGTGACGCCGTTTTGGTTTTAAAAATTTTCAAAATAAAATTGATTGGGGGTGATGGCGGGCATCGGAAGTCCACAATCGACCCCCTCCATGTCCAAATCCCTAATCACTCGAGGAGATGTCTCCCTCGTGGTTTCCAATTCTGCCATTGCCGTCGAGGCCGGCGCGAGGCATCTATCCTTCCAGCTCCGACCAACGTTCGCCGTTAGCTCGGCGGTGCCTCCCCTTCTGTTTTCTTTGCCATCTCAAGGTTCTCCTCTGGTCTTATTGTTAATCCAATAGAATGCGAAACTGACCAATTTTATTCAACGGGGGAAAACGATATATAAATACACAAGCCAAGTTCTGCTCAGCTGCAAACTCGGTATTTTCTTCTGCCCACTAACCCACTCTCCGGATACCAGCTAAGACTAACAGCACTAACCAACTGACCTTATTCCTCTCCTATCCCAACTACACAACCGAAATATGCTAACCAACCCAATCAACAGAAACGACATCACATTTTCAACAGCATCAATCCAAGTCACTCACGTGTCCAACAATGTGTATTTTGTTCCAACACTTATATATTTTCCTCAGCCTCGATAAGCTTTGAAATGAAAAAAAAAAAGTATTGTAGTAATCATTTGGTCGATTCATTCTTTTCTTGTATTACAGGAGTCATCGGGTAGTAACTAGTAAGCTCTTAGCTTGTTGTCTTCTTTATTCCGAAGGAACTGAGCTAAGATTTTGTTATGCATTCTTAGCTTGCTGTCTTCTTGTGTTTTGTTAATCGTTATTCGCTTATTCATCTCAAAGTTGCTTTACAGAATTACATTGATCATTTGTTCTTATATAATAATAATAATAATTTGATCTTTGTTTTATGCAGTATGTCGAGTGCAAGCAATACAATATCTAGCTTGTGACTTGTGAGAATTTGGATTCTTAAACTCGTGTTTTAGTTACGATTTATATTTGTTGAGTTTGTTCTACTTTATAATCTATACAAGTTAGAATGTGTGAGAAATTTCATTTTAAATATTGAATTGCAAGTATTTATTCATTTATCTGAAATCTATAAACTCACATTTTAACTATTTTAGAGGATGCATAAAAAAACTTACGTTTTTACGTTTCGATTCTACGCTTTACAATTTTACCCCCTTTTCAGCTTCTAGCTAGAATCGTGTTTTTAACTGGATTGACATATAGAAAAACGGTCAATAATATATTCACACAAAAGAATATTTAAACAAGAGTTAAAACTTCACTCACCTGTATCGTGTCCGTCGTACGCACCATCTAATGCCCGAGTCTGGGTGCCCGTCGTATGGGACCTACCTCCACTTAAACGAAACCTACCGCCATTAGAACTGAGGACTCGTAGTCGTCGAATGGAACCAAGCAGATCTCTCACACCACGAAGGAATGGGACCGGAGATTGTTTGAGGCAACCCGCTCGTCTCATTCACTTGCGGTTCCTTCACATTGTCCTCTGTCGGGTGAAGTCCGTAGAATAGGTCATCTCTTGCTTGTCTCACTAGTCACTGCTTCAGGACCTCTCTCTTCCACTTCCACGGCCAGACGCATAAAATGTTGTCGCTCAAGCTCAACTTCTTCGTCGAATTGCTCTTTCATTCGGTAGCCTTGTATAATCGAAAGTCCACCAAAAGACATGCAACTCCTCAGCGTAGAACAAAGCCGCTCGGGCTGGTCATGGGCTTTTGGTCAGTTAAAGCAGCCAGAGGCTGTTGCAGGCCCAATAGCCCATGACCGACCGCGGCAACATCTGTCATCAGACCCCACGATCGCACTGCTCAGTGCTCTTTAGTCTGATCTGCTTTTTCCGACTGCTTTTTCCGAAACCATTTTCCTCTTCGAAAAAAAAGCAGTCGTCTCCCTCCCTGAGGCTGCTTAAATGATTGAAATCGCACTGCCTTCTGGAAACCTATTCAATTGAATTTCTGCAATCGAATTAGTCCCTGTGTCTCTGCAACTCCTTTTTGGTCCATGGATCAGATCCTCTTCAACCAATACGGCGCCGCCGGCACGGTATCCGAGGTGGAGAAGATACTTGGCTACGTCTTCAACGACAAAGAGCTGCTGGTGGATGCGCTGACGCACTCGTCGTCGATCCCGAGCCCGAGGAACTATCAGCGGCTGGAGTTCGTGGGAGACGCCGTGATTCAGCTCGCCGTCAGCAATTACCTCTTCCTCCAGAGCCCTCCGCTCGATCCGCGTAATCTCACCCTCCTCCGGGCCGCCAACGTCAGCACCGAGAAGCTTGCCCGCGTGGCGGTTCGCCGTGGGTTCTACAAGTTCGTCCGGCGGAACTCTGCCGCTCTGGATGACCGGGTGAGTCGTCAACTTACTCCCCAAGTTTTGGACTCTGTTTCTACACTCTTTTCTTCAAGTTATATTGAAAAAGTATAGTTTTTTTTGTACTTTAATTGTGGAATAATTCTCTAAATTGGAATAAGAAAACCCACCGCAGGGGCTGGCACTGCACACACAGACTACTTTCACTGTACAACGTGACTCAGTTGTACTGTTCTATCCTGGCCTTGGCTGGTGTGTGGGCGGGCGTTGCCTGTTGCCTGTTTGGAATCGGAAGGGATTTGCAAGCTCGGTTGGAATGGAACCGGTAGTTACGCACTGTTTACTTGGGTTGTGGGCTGGTTGGTTGGCCTCGCTCGCGTTGGTCACACAGGATCTCGCTGTATCCGGAGATTATGCAGTTGCGCGAAACGAGGTGTTGTCAGTTGCTTCGGTGTTCCATAGAAGGGGTGTGTGTGTTGGGGTTTCCCGTGGGTGAGTTGAGTGATGGGGGCCTTGAAAAAGCCTGGATGGTTCGTTGAGACTTGAGAGTGGTTTCCCCACTTGGTGGTTCTGCAGATCGGAGGTGACATATTTGCCTTTGTTTTTTATTTTTTTTCCCCACAGATTTGAAGCCGTCGATTTGGCTTGCTGGCGTGGTTCTCGATTGTCTTTCAAATCATTGCAGGGCAGGGCTGTGTATGATGTGAGATTTCTGTTCAGTTCAGTTTTGCTCCATTTAGTCGTCTGATTTGTTTATATTCCAATTCTCGAAACTGTGGCCTTGGAGCAAGACTTTCTTTCTCTTTCTTCTTCACTCTCTCTATTCTCTTTTCCTCTCTGGTCCTGGTTTCTCAAGCTGGGTTTATTTGCTCTGTTGTTCGTCGGTTCTTCATGTCTTAGTCTTGGTAATGGACGCTACTTTGTTGTGTAATCTCAAAGGAGGCAACAAAGAAGTCACTCTCCGTTTGTGACTTCTTCACATGGTGAGAAAGGTTGGGAACTTCAGAAACTCAGGTTATTTATCTCTCTGTTTCCTTTGGTTCTGATCTTAGCTTTCCTTCTGATTGTTGAGATTCGACGGATCTTACGGCAGCGGATCGCCAGATTCCTCTCTCCGATGGGGAGAAAGGTTCGAAACTTCAGAACCTCATGATATTCATCTCTCTGTTTCCTTTGGATATGATTTTAGCTTTCCTTATGATTGATGAGATTCGATGGGATCTTACGGCATCGACGGCGATGCATACCAGGTGTTTTCCTGGATCTCTCTCTATCTGTGGGTGTGAGGCTTGCTGATCGTGGATGAAAAGTTGGATCTCTCAACGGAGTAGAGAATCTGAAGTTGTGCATCCGAATCAGGCAAGAAGAATCCCTAAATATGCCCGTTTGATTCTCTCTTTTTCTTTTTGCTTTCTAGAGACTATATCATTGTCTTCTTCTTTTTTCCCACATCAGTGCGGTCGACGATGGGTGATTCGAGTTTCAAACCATCCAGATTACCGTTGATAGCTCATGGTGGAGATGATGAACCAAACTCAATCAAATAGCAAAGGAACCAGAAGTCCTAAAAGCAGTGGTCCCTCCAGTTTTAGCGTGTGTGAGTTTGTTGGTCCATTATTTGGTCTTGCTGGTTTCCTCTGCTTTTTGCTAAGTTTCTGTGGGGTTTATTTTGTTTTCTCTGTAGATGACGTTATTTATTGCCTTTTCAGGAAGCTGTGGGTAGACTTGGGTGACGAAATCTACCCACTGTACCAGCAATGGAGATTCGTTGTTTGACACAGTGCCCGTAGATTTTCAAGGGGTTCTCCTTCGTAATCTTGATTGGGAAATGTGAGTAGCAACTTAATTCCTTGCCACTCCCGATTTTGCATCTTTTTTCGTATATGTTGTCTTTACTCATCATTGATTTTTTTGGAATTTTGCTATTAAAGTCTTGCCGAGCTGCATCTTTTGATGGGAGGAGGAAATTGGAATTCATTGACGCAGCCACACAGGTTAAGACTGCTGAAAATGGTGGTATTTATTGTTTTGTCTCTTCTCCAATGACCATTTCATAATCTATATCAGATTTTAATTCCATATGTAGTTGAAAGCTGGAGAACAAATAACTCAGATTAGAGCCTTTACTAATTTTGCTTTATTTTCCTACATATCTCAAGGGATCATTTGTGAAAGTCTTTGATCCTTAACTCCATTTAGTTTCAACTGTGCATTTTGTATAGTAAAATCATTCCACCAGCATCATAGGCCCCATATTTTCTTCACCGTTCACAGCTTTGAGTTTTCCCCTACTTCATTCATCTTTAACTTTCTTGCTGGTGTTAGCCTAATTGGTCATTTATCACAGGTGTCATGATCATTTGTTAACATGATTTCACTCTCTGAAACTTGGACATAGCAAGATAATGGATGATTTTTCCTTTTTAAATATTTTGTTTATGATCTTGAAGGTTTGTTTTCCTTTTTATAGCTTGAACTCTGGAACAATGTTGATCTTGATATGATTTTTTTTTTTTTTTGCCAAATCAACGTGGGTAGTTTTCCGTTTTGGTAGTATTTTATCTTGCTTTTATGAAGTTGCTTGCATTGGAAAATGCAAATAGTGGTTTTTGTGTCTGGTTATAATGCCCTGCCCCTCTGTGTTCTTCATATAGACGATTTGCTTATGTTGGCATTGTTGTTCGTTTGTTCCTATGTATGCAGGTAAATGTTATTCTGTAATGTTCAGGTTGTTGGCAGTGGGACTTTGTTTTATGAAGCAATGTATGTGTAATGTGGTTTATGGCTGGCGTAATTCAGGGTGCTATCTCTAGCTTTGGTTGCTTATTGCAGCTTTTTTGTTGATGACATTTAGGTTGTTGTAATTAATAGTTGAATTGGTGTTGTTTTATTACTCATCGTGTTTACTGAAAAAATGTTTGTAATGTGTAAGATTCATATTTATGGGTAGTTCAGCATTGAAATGGATGATCGGATGTTGTATTATCTGTTCAAAATTGCATGCATCCATTATGATTTTGGCGTGATGGCATTCTGTTGTTGATTTATATATATATGATGTAAGCCATTCTGTGGACAATTGGTGCTTAAAATGGATAGTCGGGCAAGGTGCTTTTTGTGGGAGCTTGGAATCTCTATTGGTGTCTTGCAGGATTAGATGGTTATTGTTGTTTTTGACGCTGAACCGTATCAAACCACGCAATGTAATTTGTGTGTTTGCTCTGATCACTCTACAATTAACCATGTTTAAAATTTAAGCTTGGAGCAATTTGGAATACAACCAGATTCTATACGTACTTCAAATCCCAGCGCAAAGCGCGGGTAAAGAATCTAGTACACATAAAAGTAAAACAAATTCCTAAACTACCACACTTATAATTTTTTTTCCCAAACTATCTAAATTTTGAGTGGTTCGAGTTTGAGAAACTCGAACTACTAACCGGTTCGAGTGTAGGAGACTCGATCTAGTTGTAGATCGATGATATAAGTCTCGAACCATGTGGGGCTGAAGTGGTTCGAGTTCAGTGAACTCGAACTACTCCTTTGAAATTTCCAACAACCTTAACTTTGTGCTCGGTTATCCGATCGTAGCAAACTTTTTTTACTTTTCGCATAACTTTTCGAGGACTACAACTTTTATAATTCAAATATTTTTAGAATATATGTGAAAATGTGAAAATCAAAGTTAAAGTTACTTCAAAACCCCTTATATTTAAAAATATTCCTATTTTGAAAATTTATTCCTAGTAAATGTTTTAGTACTCAAAAAATTATGCAAAAAAAAAAAATTGCTACGTTTGGATTGCGGAGCACAAAGTTATGAACCGATGCATTTAATCAAGTTATTTATTCTAGTTAGATGCATTGTTTCAATGTGTGAATTTTCAAAAATATATTGTTTCAAGATTGAATAATTTTGGTGGTCTCTCGAAAATGAAAGAAGAAAAAAAGTGAGTTTCTAATTCCTCAAAACAATCTCCACTTTGGACCGAGATTGACGATAATCATAATGAATTATTTTGGTGGTTCAAATACAAATATTGCTTCCATTTAAAAAAAAATGACGAATTCTCATAATTACATGCAATGTGAAAATCCGAATTCCATTACATTCATCCTTTTCTGTCCATTTTAGATATTTTGTTATTCCGAGTAGCCAACGTTTTTTCAGGGGAATATATTTTTTCCTTATTGGTTTTTGTTATTATGGTATCATAAACCATCTGACACTAATAATTCAAGTTGTTGAGTGAAATTCAATCAAATATTGCAAAGCCCCGGCATCTATTATCAGTCAGAATTGGACCATAACGGAATTTCGGTCTATACCGGTACGATAATATCAGATTGGGGGGGGAGGGTAGAATTAGAGATTGATAGAAAAGCAAGGATATGGGCTCGTGTGAGTAGGAAACAGAAAATATCTATTCTAGTTCTATTAGCAGCTATGGGTTTGAATCTAAGAGAAATTCTAGAGAATGTGTACTACCCCGAAATTTTCTTGTCTTTCCTGAACGATAAAGAGAAAAAAAAAATTGGTTCAAAAGAAAACGCCATTTTGGAGTTTTATCAAAAATTTACTTGTGTAGGCGGTGATATAGTACTTAACCACTTTCTTACGTATGCCAACATTCAATTCAATTCCTTTTAGGTAAGGGAGTTTGAATATGCAGTAAGGCAAGAAGATGAGACCGACCCTCTGGTTTACGGTGGCTCAATGAAAGCTCCCAAGGTTCTTGCAGACATCGTCGAATCCATAGCAGCTGCTGTCTATGCCGACGTGGGATTCAATCTCGAAACGCTCTGGAAGGTGGGATTTTTCTTAACATGATTCCAGTCGCAAACTTTCCTTGACCGGCTATAGCTTTCCTGAGTTCCATCTGTAACATGATGGTTACTGCTGTTTCCTGTTTAGCAGATATTCAGAGGTATTTTGGAACCCATTGTAACACTCGAACATCTGGAGCGCCAGCCACAACCGGTCACAAGACTGTTTGACCTCTGCCAAAAGCAGGGGAAGCACATCGACATCAAGTACTGGCGAAGTGGGACGAAGACCGTTGCTAGCATCTTCGTCGATGGAAGTTTTGTCGTGTCGGACTCATCGGATTATAAAGAGATTGCCAAGCTTGATGCTTGCAGGAAAGCCTTCGACATCGTGGTATCGGAGCTGCCAAGTACTGATTCTAGTACTCTTGCAGCTGGAAGCAGTGACTATGATGGGTCGACGCTTACGATACAGGACCCGAAACAGAAGCTCAATGAGATGTGCATCAAGCAGAAATGGCCGAAACCGTGTTACTGGTAGGTTACCGATCGACATTCTATGTATGATCAATGACTCTACTTCGGTGTAGTAGTGAAAAGCATATGATTTTCAACTGGTTGATTGTATAAATACTGCAGCATTATGATAGAGGAAGGTCGTCCGCACGAGAAGATTTATGTCTCGGCGGTTGAAGTTACGACTCCGGATGGAATGCTGTACATCCCGGGAGATGCCAAGAGTAGAGTCAAGGACGCAGAAACTTCTGCGGCTACATTCATGCTGCACGTTTTGCAGCACAGTAAGATTAGCTGAAGAACTTTTGAGACGCGAAGCAAGGCGGAGTGGGAAGCTAATCTTAATGGCGTGGTTGTGGTGCAAAAGCTGCAAGCGGAAAGGCGAAGATAAAAGGATGAGCTAGTAGTGATAGCTTGTAGTCTAAGGCATGCAGTGGCCAAGATCCCATGTAGGCAGTAGCTGCCACCATTTTCACCATGTTTGTCTGTGACACAGAAGATTGCTTTTACGCTCTGTTACCAGATACTGGTGTTTGTGTATTAAAACAGATGATCAAGTAATGTTATGATAGGTCAAGTAAGCTCGAGATAAGCTATGCTACATGAGTGCGAGCCATAGCTAGTAGAAAGAATTCCTCGACAGCAAGGTCTGCAATTTGCAACCTCCGTCAAGCTAGGAATTGGATGGGCAGACAAAACAGGTACTGCTACTGATAAGAACGGCAACCAAATTACAGCTACAAAGTCGATGGAAGTGTTGTTAACGTTACATTTTACACTTTTTTCATACACTAAGCAGACGACAGCTACGCGGTAGAACATCAGATCAGAGTATAAGAATATAATCTTTTGCTGTGTTTTCGTGTTGCCCTCTTCGCTTGGAAAGAGGAATATAGAACTCAGAAGCAAAAAAACCAAGCTGTGTATACACTTACTTCAGGTAACTAACAACACCTCAAACCCAAACACGTTAACCTGAGCAGTTCCCTTGCCCTGTTCAGAGTTTCAGTTCCTCTTCCTAACCCAAGAGCACCAATGGAATTTGTTCCCAATGACAGCGGCTTTTTACGGAGCTTGTAAATGCATTTGAAGGAACACCTTACATGGGGATCTTTTGCTAACTGGATGTTCTCAATAGAACAGCCACTGCAAACCCTAGCACGGAACCTGCCAGAACCTGCATCAGTACCCCCATGCACACTATTCTTTAGCTCGTGATTTCATAACGTGATGTAGCCATGGAGTGAATTGCATTTTCTACAACAAGCTAGCATCGGTCTTTCTTCATAGTTTAAACATGGAAATTGACAATGAGAGAACAAGGCCGCCTATGTTTAAACCACCATGGTTTAACAGTTCCTAACACCTTGTAGTTTAAGTTGATTCTCAAGCCATTTTAAACGATGCATAGATGTGATGTGAAGCCCAAGGAATGAAACTTGGAGACACTTTTAAAAAGCATTTAACATGGACCAATTCCCTGCTGATGTGGAACTGAATATTAACCATTGTATTTTAATCGAAAACTATGCCAACAACAAACCTGGATGGGAGTATGGCCAAGTGAATCCCGCAGAGGTCTACAATTGGAGACGGGATGTTCAGGAGGTAGCTCACATACAATTTGATTTAATAACTGCAAGAACAAATATTTACCAGCATGGTCAAAGGGAGTTAGAACAGCAGCTTGGTAAGTAAATAACAATACCACTACTCTTTACTCCCCAATAAAAATCCAGAAACAGTAAAAAGGACAGCATAAAACAGCCGAAGAATGATGAATCAACAGCAGAAAAGTAGTCATCAAACTCAAACTCCGGCATACTCAAAACTTGTCAACTAAACTTAAAGATGGTATACAAGTGTTTCACCTAATCCTGAATGCCGTGAACCAACGGAAAAGTATGGGACATCCAAATTAGAGTGAATCCAGAAGTTCACTTTGAAATGATATGTTTAGGTTAGGTTTATGCTTAAAAAGGATAATTTAGAGTATACACTCCTTCGAATGATGAAGCATAATTAAGAAACGAGCCTGATATCACAGAATGCTTTTTTGGCGCAGAGCAATTCATTGTGCACAATGTGGATCCTTGTATTTCTAAGGAAAAATACTAGAGTTCTTGTTTTTGCGAAAAGAAATGAAAATAAGAGGATAAGGTTGTGTGATGGATACCACAAGTTACGGTCATTCATATAAGTCCACTCAGATATCTATAAGCAGAATATCATTATAAGGCAGCAACCGAATGTGCTCTATATCACAAAAACTCAAATGTTCTTCTAACTTTTTGTAGGACAGTAAATCAAGAAATTTATCTCACCTCAGCCTGACGACCAGCATGAAGTCTAACACCAGTGGCATCATACATAACCTGCAAAACCATTGATCAAAATAAGTACAGGAAGTTTGGACCCAAATACCATACTGGACACAACTAAACAAATGGATAAGCATGAACCCTCAATCACTGAAAGACCCACAATGCCAACTTAATGTCTATAACTACAAATAATCACTAGTCAGGGAGGAAAAAATCTAAGATTTAAACAAGGCAACAAAAGTAACACTGGAAACTATGATCTAACTGAGACCTTTGCCTGCAATGCAATGTCGATCATGACATCTCATTCTACTGCATTGTAGTCTATTAGCTTAAGGATGAAAATGCCATCCAGTAACATAATAAGCACCCTATTTTATACTACGAAATCTCATCCCACAACAAAAGTCATCAACTTCAATGTGATCGGCCATTACAACTTTGAAGAATGAAGAAAACCTGGATAATGAGTACATACAACACAAGCCAAAACCAGTGCAACAGCAAAAGTTGGGGCCCCAGTTCCTTCCTCCAGTGCAATAGCCACGGCCAGCGCTGTCACCGTTGCTGAATGTGAGGAGGGCATCCCACCTGACCCAAGCATCCTTCTAGAATCCCATCTTCTCTCCTTGAACCTTTATTATTTTTTGGTGCAGAAGAGGATTAATCTCACACATTCAGATTGTAGACAGCTCAGACGCTAATGCAACAGTTGTTTATCTCAAATAACCATAGATATCTCAATGACTTGATACACAAAATGGTTTCTTCAAATCCATTGCATCATCCAATATCATCAATAAGCAGAAGGAAGGCAGTGAAGCAGTTTTCAACTGTTTTTTCCCTAAAAACACCAACCCTAACTCCTAGCAAAGAAAGATTCCACGCTCTCATTCGTTATGTGTATGTATAGGAGCTAAAACCCACCACCACCAGCCCCATAATCCATCGACCAATTCTAAGAACTCGTAGCATTCTGTAGTCCACTATCCACCTCTTGCTCTCATCTAGACACTCCCAATTCCAATTCACGCGACTAATCGAAACCAGAGCTTTGTACATGAACAAAGAAGAAGTAAAAGAAAGGGACTTTTCCAAATTTCACTTAGAAGCTGAAATATACAAATTGGAATGGCAAATCCTATGGAATACGAATAGTAACCAGAACAAAAGAAGAGAAAGGAGGGCAGGGAGTAGTACCAGACGGTGAAGGGCTTGAGAAACTGGGCGATAGCTAGTGCGAGGAAGGCGGAGATGAGAGGAACGTTGAAAGGGATAATGGAGGGCTGTGATGTGGCTGATCGGAACCTGGCCGATGCATCAGCCGCCGTGATGACTTCGTTCATTGCAGAGCGACGACGAGGGAAGAGATCGGGGGCCGAGGGAGCGAAGGAGAAGACTTTAGCGCAAGGGAACAGAAGGGTTTTAATTGGTAGGGAGGAATCGCATCAGGGTTGGGCAAAAAAGGGCCTCCGGCGATGGGAATCCCGATTCCGATTCCGGTGACCTCTGTGTCTCCCACTCTCTTGATTACAGTCGTCCCAACCACGACGACGCGGACGCTCCAACGGCAATAACGTCGTCTCTCCTACCAATGAGAATGAGATGAACAATTGACCATCGAATATGGATAGTTTTTTCCTCCTTGTTTCTTATTCGACAGGGAGACGGAAACTTTCTACCTCCGTCAAATTTTTTTTTTTTTTTTCCTGTAAACAACGAGGAATACGATTTCTACCTGCTTGCTTTCATCAGTCATCACCCTTAGATGACCATGTCAACACCTCGGGCTGAAAAAACTCTTTCGAAATGGATTTGAGCTTATTAACGAAGAGATGTGAAGATTTGTTAGGATCGTGAATTGTGAGATTAGCTGATGTCAAAATGCAGTATGTTAGCATTAAAAACATTTGTGTTTTCAGGTGGAATGATAATGGGACGAGACGGGTACCTCAATATTCATATTTGTTTTTATGTTAATCATGTCATTAGAAGAAAGGATACGTAATAATTATAGTTTTGTATAAAATAAATTTCCTACATACAAAGCATTGAGCATGACTTGACGAACGAATCCAAATTATCCGTGAGGTAAAAACACACACTTACTATTGAGCTAAATTATTTTATGTAGACGTCAAATTACGTAATACATGATGGAATAGAGCAAGGCCGGATAGTAGAAGTAAGACGCATACCTCACTCCACGGCCTACACTACATGTGAGATAAGTAATGCTGCGCTTAGGATGGATCCATACGGATTGAATTCGTGTGGTGCGGGTAAGATCAAACCCTTTCGTAGTTGCAATTTTTAAGAGCATGAATTGAGAAGTTTGTTTATTTGAAAAATGTTACAATTATGTCCAATTTCTTTATCCTCGTTCACCCTCTCTTTGGAGTCTGCAACATTCTTTTTTCTAAGCTTTTTCACAACTATTTAACTATGCAGATGACCAATCAATGACAGAAATGCGAGACAGTTATCAACCAAATTTATACAATTACGTTGATTTAGCAAGTGGTATAATCCAACCAGGGTACAATCGGCATTACACAGGGACAAAGATGATAAACCATACCTGAAAACGTAAACAAAATGGAGGGAAACCAGAGAACCTCTGGTAACCTTTCCAAGAATAAACATTACAGGCTTTACATGGAACAGGGCAACAGATTCTGAAAATGGTGAATTCTAAGTGCTACAGTACAGCATTGCTGACTTAACTCATTAAAGCTTAGCGGCTGAATGTTGTGATTCAAAATACTTTACTTCTTCTTTGCATAATCCCTTGGCCCGAATATTGTTGATCCCACTCTAACGTTGGTACTGCCCGCTTCAATCTGCACAAGACAGGCTTTGCAATCAGTGATGTTCTTCTAAAATGATATTACAGTATCGAGGGATCAATCACTATCTAGGCCAACAAAGCGCAACTTATGCAAAGACAACGCGCCAGTTTGATGTGTATGTAACGTGGTTTGATTTTAAACAGTTGTGCAATCACTAACCCTGCATCTATTCTGAATTATTTCAATCTACGTGCGCAATCACTAACTCATCCTACAGTAAAGAAAATGGAAGCAGTCTAATCAGATCAATTCAACTGAAGAGGGCTCACAGCTTGCTCGAAGTCGCCAGACATCCCCATTGATAGCTCAAACTGGTCCTCGGACATTTCAAGGGCCTTGCACACTTGAGATCTACAGTTGACTAGTGTCTGTTGATTGAGCACAAAAGTGGAAAATAAGTTAGAACTCAGACCAACGGGTGATCCTCAGTTATAAGAGCTGTGCATAATAGGTGTCTTCTTGATATTGTTGAAATCAAGGATCATGAATTGAATCTTGATGTGATTGCATTTCCACCCATAAGTGGGTGCAGAAAATTACCCTGAAGTTCTCTGGAGTTGATGTGTAGTCGGGCATCCCAATCGTCATCAAGCCAGAAAGAGCAAGATTTGGACAATGCAGTTTTATATGCTCTGCCAGCTTAACACAACCAGATGGATCAATGCCTGATTTTGCTGCAATGATACCCCAAGACTCAGTTAACTTTAATCCATGATAATGATTACAGAGAAGACATAAGCCATATGAAACAAAATGCGTGCATTAAGGTTATTACTGGGCCAGACTTCACAATGTTAAATGGTTCTGGCAAGCGATTTATTAGGCAAAAGGAGATTTAGCATCTGATAGAGTTGGTCAAAGAAGTGAATGAAAACAACGGTAGCAATCATGTCGTAAATTTCAATGTTCAGCAACAAAATTAGCTGAGAGATGAGATGAATGGTTTCAGTTTCACCCACATGCTTCTCCACTGGTATTCACCTGGACCATGACATTCAAAGGGTTCCTTCCGAGGCTTGAAACCACTTTGTCAAGAATGTTTGCAACCTGTCAACACAAGATTGTTACAAATTACAATAGCACAAATCCTTCTTTCAAGTGAATATTTGTTATTCTTCACATATCAGTTTATCCATAACTATAATTTAACTGAATCTGTTAGCTATAGCCAAAAAAGTTGAAAGATCCAACGGGCAGCAGATGATAACAATAGACATAAAGCTTTTCATTCCATGCATTCATGCAAACTTTTGACATCTATGTCTCCTAAGTACGTACGGCCTTCCCAACAATGGTATTCTGGATAACTCCATTCACATGGGAAACATGGAACAGCTGAATTCGAGCTCGACATTACCCCGCACAAGGATGACTCAAGACTAACAAAGCATAAGTTTTCTTGCACCAGACTTCCACCTAGAACCAAACCCAATTCTAAAAAGATCTGCTCTTTTGCAGTGTTATCAGTAGGCGAATCAATGTTGGGGAGAGCAATTACTGATAACTAGATACAGAGCGAGCTCTCACCTTCTCATTATCTACACCCTCAACCATAGTCAGATTCGGTACTGCATCTGCACCCAATTACCCAGATATTCAGCACCACAGAAAGGAAACAAAGAAAGAAACGAAACATTCCTTCCGATTATGAAAGCTTACAGGAGCAGAAGTCGACATTCCTTTGAAAAATTGGAGCCAATACTACTCACACAACCATGGATAAGCGCGGAAAAAGATGAAGAGATACAAGAAGAAGAAGAAGAAGAAGAAGAAGAAGAAGAAGAAGAAAGAGGGAACCCGTACTAAGAAGTATCTTCACTTTGTTGCTCTGCAAATGGCCGATGAAGTGCCACTCGATGTCGCCCGGCAGCTGCGAAAGGACAGGGCACGCCATTCACAAGCAGTTCCATTTCGAATTGAATTACTAATTAGCCATTGTCAGAAGAAAGGAATCGATGAGCGGAAACCTGGGGAGCTTTGTCGACGAACTCCTGGACGTAATTCTCCCCAAAACAGCGATGGCCGGCGTCATAGACCTCTCGGAGAAGGGAAACGGGTTTGTTTTTCGACACGGCGACGACCCGCACACGTTCGGGGCTGGTTCCGGCTCGTTCGGCGGCTTGGCGGACGCGGAGAAGGACTGATCGGAGGGCCGCCGTCACGGGCCTGGACTCTACGGCGGGGGCAGCCATTATCTCGCTCAACCTGTTGCAGGTTTGTGGGCGGATCGGGAGAAGTGAGAGCTGCGAGCCCACGTAGGCATCAGACAGTGCTTTCCTAATTCCTCCTTCCTCCATTTTATTTTGATCCTTTCCTTTATTGGTGGCCCAGATTTCTTAACTATTTTTCTACAATTATTTGTGATTATTAGAAATTACACCTGTGAGCTGTGACCCAAACTTTAGCTCTTTAAAACGTTATTACTTGTTGCTTCTCACTGCTGCAATGGCCAGAGTCCTAAGCTTCGGGGAATTACCAGAACAAGAGGATGATGAAGAACGACAAGAGGATGAAGAATATGCAGCCAACATTTTGATCGGATCTTCTAATGCCCAGTGATATCATCTGGGCATTAGAAGTGCAACAAGTTTCCTAGGATATGTTTTGCCAGGAGAAGTCTGGGGCCTCATTGACGCAAGAAGAAGTGCGTCGATGTTCTGAAAGATCGTCTCGACTTGCAGGAGATGTGGGAAGAAGTGCAAGTACAACGAGACCTGCTGTAATGGCAAATGTGTGAATCCATTTTTCAACATGTTGCATTGTGGAGGCTGTAACAATATCGGTGTGCCAGCAATGGCAAAGAGACTTTCTGTGCATTCGGGCTCTGCAACTAGGCATAGGACCAGAGACATTGAAGAAGAGCATATACAATGTGTATTAGCTGGACATACCATGAAATTACCTTTCATGTTCATATTCTTTTGGTCAAGAAATAAAACATTGAAGAGTTCATTTGTTTGCCGAGCAAATAATTTTCAGCATTCAATGTGAGGGAAAATCATGCTTCACAAACAAATTTCAGCTGTACAATAAACTTTCGTTCTCTTTCAAATCCATTCCTCCATCATATCAGAGTTAAGAATAACATAGATGAGGGTTGGAACATGCTGAATCAGTTCATAAAGCTACCCTCGTTCGTATGTTTCATGAACAAGATACAAGACAAAATAGAGTTGCACCTGACTTGATTGAGTTAGTTAGTTCCTTGTGACTGAAGGTTGCCCTGACAGGGCCAAATTATATAGCTTCATTTCTCCTCAAATGCACCATTGGAGTAACCTTCACCAGCAACACCAGTCGTCCCATTTGGTACCCTGTTGGAAGTGGCGGTGGTGGCGGCGGAGTTTGAATAAGGAGAATAGGTTGAAGCAGGGCTGCCTCGTGAATACCGGTTCTGTCCTGCTGTGCTATTTCTTGTTGCCTTGCGCGCCTTCCTACCCTGCAAACAACACAGACCAGACACAAAATCTGAAATCAGCAAGCAATCCAAACCAACAGCTTCAGAGGCATCGAATAAAAATTAGGTAGTATATACAGCAGTAATGCTCCAGCAACAAAGCAAAAATGTACGAGTTTCGAGTTAATAAAACAAGTCACCTTTCCCATGCACTTCTCTAAATGAGGAGCAAACCTTCCGGCAGCAACAGATCGCCCACAGTTGATGCACTCGAATAAATCATTGGCAATAGGTGGATGCGTCTGCCCGAAGATATCCATCACATACTTGCCATTCGTTTCGGCAGCAGCATCAGCCACACTCGCCCGGGCTTCAGCTGACAACTTCAGCTCTTCTTCCTCTTCCTCCAAGTTGCGGTCAAGCCCTAGCTTTGCTATCCTGTGACACTCAGATGCCACATCTGCTATCATGGAATCCAGTAGGTTCCCAAACAACTGGGACGACAGCTGTTTTACACAAGAGCAGAAAAGAAACAAACTTCACAAACTTGCCATCATCTGAAATGTATCTATTCTCAAAATCGGGTGTAAACCCAGGAAAAAGGTTCTAACTTTTTAACATTATTCTAGTTAGGAGTTGCAAAAACGAAAAGGGTGAAACCACTGCTACGCATACAAACACTAGGCCACTATCTAAACCTTATTAGGTTAGAAATTCGAAGACTTTAAACAATCCATGGATGGAAGAAAAGCAATACCTGTGTATGAGAAGATGTAATGTCCTCATTCGGCCCTGACATGAGGGGGAAACGAGTTTCCAACTGGACCCGTTTTGGGACGGTTGCTTCCTGCAAGAAATTGGAGAGGGGAAAACGAGAAAGGTTAGTATCCTACACGAAATTCCTGCCATTGATTCAACAATCAACGAACCACGATATCAATTCAGCGATTGGGGAACGGACGATCGAGATTGTGATTCGTGGGTTGAGGAGTTATCAGACTTACAAGAACGAGGGTGATCCAGCCGTGACTCTACTTTCTGAATGGTGGAATTCCGGATCGACGATTTCCGCGGGATAGGTCGTCGGCAACGGTGGCCGGAGAAATTGCTAGCGACAGTGGGGCTGGATTGGTTATCTCGGGCTACTGTGTCTGTGTAGGCAGCTGCGTCTTTGTTCCGATTGGGTATGGCGACTAGCTCTCCCACCGTGTTTCCTGGCTTTGCTTTGCGCGAGAACGGCAGTCGACCCGGGTCGGGTCGGGAGAGTATTTCGGGGGCGGTCCGGCGGGTAGTTGATTGGTTCGGCCCACTTTTGATGGGTCTCTCCTCGTCCTCGGTTGGATTATGAGGTTTGGTCAAGTTTCAAGTGTCTTTGGGTTGGGCCTAATAATGGGACCATAGAAGATCTGTTGTATATATAGACCCGAGCCGAGCCTGCTGCAGTTTCGGGTGGATCTGAGCCGCCGGGCTGCCTTTCTTTTTTTGGTAGAAAGATCGACGCATAAGGCGTCTAATTCATAGAAATAGAACGTTCATGGGCAATGCCCATTACATCATGTCGAAGCCAATAAACTAATCCCCTATCCCTTACATTGAGATTATGTGTACCAAAACTAAGATCATGGCCCAAACTCGCCAAGTGGTCGGCAGCAAAATTGGCCTCCCTGTACACATGAGAAATGGTAACCTCCCAGTCGAGGTTCAAAAGAATACTAATTTGTTGTGCAATGCTCCCATGGCGATGGTCGTCATTCTCGCACTTTTTAATAATATCAATTGTAGTAGTAGAGTCCATATTGAGGTTAATCTTTCGATATCCCTTCTTCCAAGCAAGCTTCAGTCCCTCGGCTGCTCCCTTCAGCTCAGCAGCTGTTATAGAGCAAATCCCCAGGTTGCAAGCAAATGCCTCTTTGCAGTTTCCAAGATGGTCTCTCAAGAGTCCGCCTGCTGCAGCACTGCCGGTCTGGGGAATCACAGATCCATCGGATTGGATTTGGATCCAGCCTTCCCTTGGGGGTTCCCATCCCACTTGCTTGACAGATCTGACTCTGGTCTCCATATTGGTCACTTTCTGTACATTCTGATAGGCTTGCCAAACAATGTTGAACCAGGCGTTAATCCTTGCAATGAGTCCCTCTTTTGAGAAAATCTTCCCATCCATCACCTCCTCGTTCCTCTGCTTCCATGGGTGCCAACAAACAATTCCAAACTCCACTCCCGTATTCTCATCACGCAGATTCGTGGTCATCCAATCTTGCATAGGTAGGTTTGTATTCTTCTCCGCCATCTTGCTGTTCATCCTATCCCAGATGCTTCTGGCCTTAGTGCAGCTTCGAAGGATGTGCTCAATTGATTCTTCATGGTGGTTGCAGTGCGGGCAGGAGCTGTCATTTGTGATCTTCCTTCTGGTTCTCTCTTTGTTGGTGAAGAGCCGGTCTTGAAGAACAAGCCACAAGAAATGCTTTATTCTGCTTGGACCCTTCCACTTCCAAAGACTTTTCCAGTTGCTGTTATATTCTCCATCGAGCTCGTTGGCCACAAGTTGATAGGCAGACTTCAAACGAAATCTTCCATCTCTTTCGAGCCCCCAGATGGTCCTGTCCTCCCCCAGGTTGTGATTAGGCGCCTCCATCCCTGCAATAGAAACAAGGGCGTCATCAGGTAAAACTTGCTTCAGTTTCTCCCAATCCCACTCACCATCCTCTGTGGTCCAATCAGCCACGATAGAGGTTTTCTCTTCTTCAGAGAGGTTTCTGGTGCAATAGTCCTCCAAAATAACCCCATTTTCCAGCCATGGTTGGGACCAGAAGCTTGTGGTTTTCCCATCTCTAATGCTCCAAACAGTAGCTTCTTTCATCCACTCCATTCCTTTGACAATTGCTCTCCATAAGCTTGAATGGTTGCTCTTCTTCATTGCAACAATAGCTCCTCCTTTATGTTTGAAATATTTCCCCTGGAGCACCTGTACCCAAAGATCAGATTCTCTATTCAACATATTCCAACCCAATTTAACCATGTAAGCCATATTCATATTACGAGCAGATTTCAATCCCAGACCACCTTGTTCTTTAGGTTTACAGATTCTATCCCAAGTAACAAGGTGGGGTTTTTTCTTTTCATTCGAAGACCCCCACACAAACCCTCTAACCTTCTTGTCAATGGTGTCACACACTGAGATGGGAAGGATAGTGGTTTGCATAGCATAAGAGGGAAGGGCATTCAAAACCGACATGGCAAGGGTAACTCTACCAGCAAGGGACAAGTTCTTGGCCTTCCAGCAAGACAACTTCTGATCAATTTATCAATAATGTATTTATAGGTGTTCTTGTTGATTCTACCATGCAAGACAGGCACCCCAAGATATCTACCCAAATCATTTGTAGCTTGTATGTCAAGTCTGCAGCAGATATCTTTCCTGGTCTGAATCTTGACATTCCTAGCAAAAAAGATCCTAGACTTATCATTGCTAACAACCTCACCAGAAGCACTACAAAATCTATTGAGGCAGTCAAGAACAGAATCGGCATTCTTAGAAGTGGCCTCAGCAAACAACACTAAATCGTCTGCAAAGAGAAGGTGGGAAAGGGCAGGCCCTCCCGGAGACAATTTCAAAGGGTTCCAATGACCATTATCCACATCAGCTAAGATACAGTGACTAAGTCTTTCCATACAAAGAGTAAAGAGGTAGGGAGAAAGGGGACATCCCTGACGAAGGCCTTGCGATGGTTTGAAGCTCTCGGTTTCCCCCCATTCCACAAGACTTGAAAGCTGGTGGTGGTGACACACTTCATGATGAGTTGGATTAGAAAGCTTGAGATCCCTGCAGCCCTAAGGGTGTCTTCAAGGAAACCCCAATCCAACCTATTGTAGGCTTTGGCCAAGTCGATTTTGAGGATCATATGCCCCTTTTTACCGGTCCTCCTTGCCATGGTGTGGACAGCTTCCTGTACAATAATTATATTATCAGTAATATGTCTCTCTGAAATGAAACTGGACTGATTTTTCTTAACAAGGTGAGGCATCAAGGGTTTAAGCTTATTTGCAATTATCTTAGCAACCACTTTATATCCTACATTGCAAAGACTAATAGGCCTAAAGTGATTCATCGAGGCAGGGTTATCCACTTTAGGAATCAAAGTCAACAAGGTTTCATTGATGGTCTGTATTCTATCAGGAAATCTAAAACAGGAGAGGATGAAAGTAGAGAAATCACAACCAATCGACTCCCAACATTTCTGATAGAAGATGGCTTGAAATCCATCTTTCCCAGGGGCCTTGAGACCATTCATTTCCATCACAACAGATTTAATGATATCAAGACTAGGAAGATCATTCATTCTCCTTAGCACCTCATCATTCAAAGCAGGAAATTCAGCAGGCACACTACATCTATTGCTCAAAGGGTCCTTAGTGAAGAGATTGAGAAAATACTCCCTGGCCATAGATTGTAGGATTTGCTCATCATCGATCCATTGTCCATGGTCATCCGGGCTGCCTTTCCAACAAACTAAGAATTGAAAAATTGTAACAGCCCAGATTTTTTTTTTACCGAAAGTAAAATTGATAGGCGGTATTTAATGGTATCAAACGGTTTAATTACAATTAAATTATGAATTCAAAATAAACTTTTTTATTTTTTATTTTTTTGGTACAACCTCCCGGGATCGGATCAGGTCAGTAACCTCATGGTGAGTAATGAGTAACCCGTCCACATTAGCATGACATCAGCATCCTTCTCTCTCCTAGAAATCCTTTAATTTTTCCCTCCTTAATCTTTGACGGACGATTTATCACTCGTTTTAAGTTGAAATAAAATTTTTGTTTACACAATTAGATCAGATTAATTGTGCTCTTCAAAATGATATCCACTTTGATATATTTTTGATTTTTCGAACAAAAAAAATGAGTCATTTTTTACCAGTCTATACCATATGGTATTGACTGGTATTGAAATAAGAGCATACATATGGTTTGAAAAGCGTATCATGGTGGTATGAACAAACCAAGACTGTAGGATGGTTGAATACATGATAGTAGAAATATATTAACTGTCATTTACGACTTTTAACATTGTGTACCATAAGATACCACCCCGTACCAGGGTAGTATTGTATGGTATTGTGTGATCTTTTTTTTTTGTGCTATAATTTGTTCACCCAGAAATTTGTAGATCCAATAGATCATGATAAACTCGTCTCTTTTATGCAAACGTTTTCAAAAACAAATTAAAAATGAAGAAAATACCATATGGTATGCAGTTGGTACCGAGAGGCCATAATTTTTTTTCTAAAAAAATATTGAAAATTGATCTCATTTTTTAGAGCACGATGAACTCGTTCCACCTGTGAAAAAAAATTAAAATCCGAATTAAAACGAAAGGCAAAGCAACTCCTTCTTTGCATGCTTATCCCTTTGTGACTCAAAGCTTGAATCGAATAAAAGTGAGTTTTTGTTGTTGGTTGTATAAGAAAAAGGTTCCACATTCTCTCACGAGAAGGGGTGACGAACATGTTGATGGCTAGCTATGAGAGCCATGAGATTTGGTGTTATTTTTTATCGGACGGCTACTTGAAAAAATATGGTCCATAAAAAAACAAAATTAACTAGACCCCAGTTGATAACAAAATTAGGGCTCATAAACGGTTATCGGGTAAACGGCAAAAACGAACCGATAAAATCGGTCAATTAGATAACCAATAGCCATAAAATAGATGTAGTCGATGATATCAGGTTAACCGCTCCGTAGCTACCTGCTCGATCTACTAGTGAGTCTGTCACATCCCAATTCAACATCGTCCTCCTCCCTCTCCAATCGTGAGTCGCAACATCCCTATCTCAGTCTCAATGTCGCCTCCATTGTCCATCCTTGTAGAAGGGTAAGAAGGAAAAGTAGAAGAGAGGGTTGATCGGATTTGGGAGGGGCGCGGATTCTAAGACTGCTGTCAAAGAATTTTCCAAATCTCTCACAATAACTCAACGGATCTTAGCTCATTCGTTTTACCTCGCATTTCAGAAAATTTTGCATAAAAATTCTGTTTCTTTGTGTTCTACATGATGATACTCATTTTGATATTTTTGGAACAAAAAAAATTCAAGTCATCGTACCACTGTAATATAACGATATTACCGTTGACAGTGATATGATATCATAGTGGTACGATGTTGATATAATAGTCGTATAATGTTGTTCTGAAGTCTTACATTTTGAAAAATAATTAATTGACATCATATCATATCACCGATATATCATGATATTATTACTATATGTTGATATAAAATCTTATGTTTGAAAAAACATAACAAAACGAAATCATTGTGTTTTTGGTATTTTTGGAACAAAAAAAATTCAAGTCATCGTACCACTGTAATATAACGATATTACCGTTGACAGTGATATGATATCATAGTGGTACGATGTTGATATAATAGTCGTATAATGTTGTTCTGAAGTCTTACATTTTGAAAAATAATTAATTGACATCATATCATATCACCGATATATCATGATATTATTACTATATATTGATATAAAATCTTATGTTTGAAAAAACATAACAAAACGAATATCATTGTGTTTTTGGTAATTAAAAATAGAATGGAGGTGCGGGGAATCGAACCCCGTGCCTCTCGCATGCGAAGCGAGCGCTCTACCATATGAGCTACACCCCCAAGATTGTATGATAGTAATATGATGTTGATATGAGGTTACGTTTGACAAAATAATTTGATGACATTATATCAGTGTATACAGTGATAATATCATATATAACACTGATATGTTGTTGGTATGAAGTCTTACGTGTGACTAAACATAACAAAATTGATAATTATTGTGTACATGTTAATTAATGTGTTCCTTCTATACGAACAAGCTAAGGGTTTGCTCTAGTCAGCGGCGAGGCAGGATTTGGAATTGCCCCTGTCCTCTTTTCGGATTATAAATATATAATAAATATAATTAAATTAATAATATCTAAATAATTTATTTTCATATAAAAAAGATAACGACTAATACAATCATGACGAGTTTTCATATTATGAAACAAACACAAAATGCATTCATTATCTACACTATTAAGTAAGTCCTTTTCAATGGATCTCACTAAACAACATTAACAAACTCCCCGTGAATTTGACCTCGAATTTCGTTCTTGATATAGTTCAAAGTTGAAAATATATTATCTACTTGCCGTCAAAACTAGTGGAATATGCGTTGCCACTGGACTTCTTCAAGATTGCTGGGCAAATAATCGAATAGACATATGAAGAAAAGAGATCTGTTCCAATTGAGATTTCGTTTGTAGTATAATAAATTAATTTAGTGTCATTTATAATCAAGTAATGAGTTGTGATATAGTGACAAAATACGTTATATTGGTCTTGTGTTATATCCTTAGCATACAGATATATATGTGGTATTTTTGTTTCTCCCAAAATTTACCCATGTCCCGGGAGCCGGGACAATGCCAAACATGGCTGCCTCCGCCTATGACTCTAGTGGTAACACCACTAGTTTTGAACCCGGGGGTTTCAGGTTTGATTCTCTTAAATAGTACCTAAGCACAAAATTAAGAGAATTAGAAAAAGTGCATTCTCTCTCCTCCAAGATCCGTGTCAGACAATTAATAAAAGACATGGGTTGACAGAAATTTCCAGTCAGCCGCTATATATATTTTGTTGAGAATTATTTTGAACCAGTAAATAAAGAATGAGATGGAGGATAGATTATTAGATTTTGTAGCGAAATTATAGAATAGGGTTTTGTAACCCCATCCTTTTCCTTAAAAATATTTTTATAGGGATCGAATTTTCTTGGTCTCGTTATGAACTCACATACTTAATTTCTCCAATAATCCGCAAGAGATTTTAAGCAAAAGTAGAAGATTAATGATATTCGAACACTTGTAAGTTTATTTATATTTAATAAAAAATTTATATGACATTTTCAATAATGTAATAATATTTTTCTGGTAATAGTATACCAGAACAATTAATCAATAATAACAATCAGGGTGCAGATAGTATAACAACACCTTAATTGTTGTTATACTAACAACAGGACATAATAGTAAAATAACAATAAATAATAAATTATCAATAAACAAAAACTAAATTCTTAAGCGTGTTTTATCTCTCTCCCCAGCAATAGCGGCCAGATCTATACCTTTTAACAACAATATTTTGTTCTTCTCCGGCGCCAATCCTCTGCCATCATCGGCGCCATCGCACCAGTCGACTCTCTCCCGATCACAACCACGTTGCTGCCGACGAGTTCAGTGCGACGGCGATAGATACTGAGAGCGTCGCGACAGCAGAAGGCCCCTTTCATCCGCCGTCGTCGAATCCATAGCCACATCATCTCAGATCTGGAGTCGTAATATGTGGCGGCGGCGATTTGCGGCAGCTCTTCTGCCGGCCGTGGATGTCTTCGTCCATGTCTTCAACACTTAGACCAGAGATTTGATAGCTCCGGCGGTCCTTGTTGCCTTCGTGGAGGGAGAGATTCAATAGAGTCGTGACGGCGTTCTCCTGGGTCAACGGATTGCTGCACCGGAGAAGAGGAATTAACGCCGGATTCGCCGATTAATGCTCGATTGTTTGGCCGATTCTTCGCCAGGGGACGTAGCTTCGCCGCAGCGGAAACTTTTGGATTCATCATTGTACGAGAAGCGCTCACAGGGGTCTTGGGAAGGATCAGTGCATTGGTTCAGTTCTATTTCTTCTACTCGATTATTAGTCTCTGTGCTTTGTGGGAATTGGATTTGTGATCTAGAATCCCTAAAGCATTTTAATGGAGATGGATCACCATCCTGATTTGTGTGGTTACTGATTGGTACAAATAGAGGAGGAGGATGGTGGTGTTGGTGGTGGGCATTTGAGCAGGAAGTTTTGTTTTGTATATTCCACATTCCAAAGTTCGTAGGGCTTTCACTTTTGAGCATCTCTCTTGTGGCGGCCTCTCTAGATGAGATGATGAGAATACCATCATCATCGTTCTAGAATCACAATTTGGGAGAGCAGCGCATGGTTGATCAAGTGCTTCTGTATGTCCTCCATGGTAGTCAAACCTAAATGTGTAACGTGGGATGTAGAGAATTTGCCATTACCCTAAGCTTTCTGTTAGTTTCATATGTTGCATTTCATTTTGATTGTCAAGCCTTCTTCATCACTAATTCCCCTGTCTGCTTACATTAGTTGTGTATTGATTGGATTTTATTAGGATTATGTCATTTGGATTCATATCGGTTGTGTAGTGGTACTTGAGGGAACTGCATATGTTTCTTTTAGTTATATGGATGTAAGTAGTAACTTGCAAGTAGCAACTCAAATGATGATGCTACAAATTTTGGTTGTGTGTTTCTCCATCAGGCCACAAAAATATGGCAAAAAAATCGTTTAATGCATACCTCAAATCTTTCAAAACATATTATTAAAGCACACAACAAATCACCTAATATATACCACAAATCGCCTAAAACATACCAGAAACACCACAAAACAAAACACAAATATTTCTAAAGCGCACTAGAAATTTCATAATACAAACCACAAACACGGTAAAGTAAACAAAAAACGTCCTAATGCAGACCACAAATATATTAAAACAAACCAAAAACCTCGCAAAGCAAACCACAACAGTTTCGACAGCACACCAGAACCTTCTTAATGCAAACCAGAAACTTACTAATGCATACCACAAATCTCCTAAAACAAACCACAAACCTCACAAATCAAACCATACAATTTCGAAAGCACACCATAAACATCTTAATGCAACCCAGAAACATGATAAAGCAAACCAGAAACCTCACAAAGCATACTACAAATATTCCGAAAGCACACCAGAAATACAATAAACCAAACCAGAAACCTCCTAATGCAGACCACAAATCTCATAAAACAAACCACAAACCTCACAATGCAAACCACAACATTTACGAAAGCACACCAGAAACCTCCTAATGCAAACTACAAACACAGTAAATCAAACCACAAAAAAACAAACCAGAAACGTCTTAATGCAGACCACAAATATATTAAAACAAACCAAAAACCTAACAATGCAAACCACAAAGTTTTTGAAAGCAAACCAGAAACTTCTCAATGCATACCACAAACACGATAAAGCAAACCAGAAACTTCTTAATGCAAACCACAAACATGATAAAGCAAACCACAAAAGGCATACGAAAATATGAGAAACCAAACCATAAATCTCACAATGTAGACCATACATCCGGTCTTCGTTGACCGTTGACCGAACTCCGGTGAGCAGATTCCGACGCCGATAGGCATATTCCGGCCCCGGTGACTAGATTCCGACGCCGGTAAGCATATTCCGACGCCGGTAAGCATATTCCGACTCCGGTAAGCATATTCCGGCCACAAAATAGCATATTCCGGCGACAAAAAGCATATTCCGGTGACCGGCGACCATTTTCCGACGACCGGTGGCAGAATTCCGGCGACCAAATTTTTGGGCAGAAAATAAAAAATATTTTTTTTTATTTTTATTTATTTATTTTTTAAACATATTTTTCATAATGACAATTATACCCCTGTTTTGATTTTACACTAGGTCAACTCAACTAATAAAAAGTCATCACATTCCTAGCTTCCTATTGGTTGGGGACTAGTGTTGTTACAATAACAACACAATGGGTGTTGTTACAATAACCGGTCCCATCCGGGAAAAGAGAGCGAGAGATTCTTGCATATCCATATATTCATGCGTAGTTGCACAAGCCGTAGACGCAGAGCTCCCCGCCGGCGCAGGGCGAATCGCACTTGCCGCAGTGACGCTTGTCGAGAGACAGATAAACGCACTCCCCGCCGCAGCACTCGTCCTTGAAGGCGCACTTGTTCTTGCACCCGCCGCAGTTCTGCTTGTCGGCGGCGACTTCGATGCACTTGTTGTTGCAGCACTCGAACCCCTCCCCGTACAAAGACCGGCACAGCCCCGGGTCGTCGTCCTTGTTGCAGTGGTCCGCCGCCCGAGGGTTTTTGGTCTGCCCGCCGCCGTTGCCGGGCGTCCCGTCGTCGACGGCGGTCGTGTCTTGCTTGAGGAAGAAAGATATGGGAGTTTGGGTTTTATAGGGGAAGAAGAAGAAGAAGAAGAAAGAAGGGTGAGGAAGTTGACGCGGGGAAGATGGGGAAAGGCGGCGAGGTGCGGAGCACTTGGGAGTGCTCTTTCCCAAGTTACTGGTGAACAAAGACAAAGCAACTTCTTGTCAACGGAAACCACGTAAAAGAGGACACCCCTATGTAAAATTTTTGGGTTCGCCACTCCTTTCATTATATAAGAGTAATCGAGAGTCGAGTTGTTCAACTATACTATTGTTATGTTCCTAGTACGAGTTAGAGACCCTAACCGTCCTTTTGGTTTGGGAAGCCCATCAACCGTTACTATTCCTGAAATAATTAAGATTGCAAGTGCAATTATTTATATAATTAAACTCAGATACATCACTAATGTCAACGGGAAAAACAATGCTTTTGTTCAATTACATGCATATGCAGTTACAAATTCTGGCGGTTTGACTTTTTTTTTTTTTTGACAATCAACAACCTGGATATTTATTAATTAATTATAGAATCATGGTCCAAAACTGATAAAAGAAACCCAGGTGGCCTTTCAGCCCAAAACTCCTCTGCATCCCAAGGACATTGAATATGGGCCATCAAGTGGGCTGCTTGGTTGCCTTCTCTTCTTGTAAAGCTCCACTTGACCGGCCCATCCCTACTAGCTTCCATTTCGATTTCCTCCAGCAACAGCCCTGATTCAGTCCTTGTCCTCACCCTGTTCTTTAGCGATAAGAAAGCTGTCTGGCAATCCGTTTCCACTACCAGCCGCCGGAGACCATGCATTTCTTTCAATCGGAGGCCAATCTGGCGGTTTGACTTTTAGCATGCTTTGTAACGAAGAATCAAAACTCAATTAATTAGCGTACGATGCACAAAGATTGATCAACACTTCGCGTAAGAACCAATTGACACGCACCATACACTGAAACCATGCATGCATATGATGCTTTCGTGACGTCGAAGTGCTACAGCCAAACGAAGATGGTTATTTTAGCAGATTGTTATTCTGTTACTTAGGGGTCGTTTGCTTCATGGATTTAAAAATGAGGGTTTTGTAATTTAAAAACTCAAGGATTTATCAAGGATTTGAGGCATCATGGATTTGTAACAATCCTTTGTTTGTTGGGATGTTTTTATCATGGATTTAAAGGTGTGGGATTTACTACTTAAAGTCAAAAATTACATTACTGCCCTTTTCTATATGTTTGACATGTTTATGATATGTACACAAAACAAGGACAAAACTTCAAAATTACCTTACTATCATTTTCTATATGTTTGACATGTTTATGATATGTACACAAAACAAGGACAATACATATTAATAAGCATAATGTTGCCACATGGACAATAATAATAAACGAGAAAATTCCGTTTTAACTTTTAACGTAACATAATCAATTACCAATTCTTTGTTCTCCTTTTCAAAAGTGACATATAACAACATATATTAGAATCGGGAGAACAAAGAATTACACGTTCCATGAAAAGGTCAAAGAAAACTAGAACACAATAAATGATATAAAAAATCTAACTCATATTTGCACATTAATTGAACGTTTATATTTCATTTATTGTTAATTATAATGTATAATAGTTAAATTTGAGGGCAACCTTGGAATATTAAAAGTGCATGAGGGTATATGGGTAAAATCTCATCAAGGATTTATGTCATATTCCAAATCCCACATCAACATGTGGGATTTATAAGTCCGTGGGGTCCACTGATTTGGACCCTTAAAATCCGTGGGCCCCACGGATTTGGTGTCCAAAAAAGGTGCAAGCAAACAACGGATTGTACCTAAATCCTTGATAGTTGGTTTTTTGGTACCAAATCCATGTACCAAATTCTTGAAGCAAACGACCCCTTAAAGTAGGTCTCATTGACATATATATAAAAGTCCATGAGGCCAACCGTCAAATCTAATTTATTTGTTGGTTTTTCCGAACAACATGTACCAATTTCAATATCCAAATCCAACAAGCAAACGCCCTTATTTTGTGTTGGAGTTCTAGCATGAAAATCTGTATCCAATCCACTCTATCAAATTAAATATTCAACTAATTCAATCTATTCAATTCAAAATCTAATTTATTTAATTCAAATTCAATTAGATAAGTGTATTCATGGATTATTGACAAATTATAATTTAGTACCCATATTTTATGTATTTTACGATTTTGTGTATAATAGAAGATGAGTTTGGTTGCTATCTGGGGCAAACATGACTCAACCGAATTATGAACCAAAATAAACTTGAATTCGGGTTGGTTAACCGAACATATAATCGGCTCGGACAAATCAAATTGTATATCTGTCATTCTGTCCCTATTGAGATATAACCCGATTGTCAACTCGACCCAGATTGTAACCGACTTGACTCATGAGTCATAACTCGATTAATCAACAACCTAATTAACCCATAATCCTATTGTTGGGGATGTATACATGGCCCGCGTGGGTTGGACCGATAGGGCCCAAGAGTAGAGTTTGGAAGGCTGAGGAATTGGACCCGGCCCAATGGGCCCAGAGACAGAGGGAAAGTTGGCCCAGGGACAGGGAAGAGCTTCTCCAGACGGGTGGGGTCCGCAACCCTGACGCGAGGCGCGTGCGACAGGTGGGCACAGGGGTGTCCCAGGGTACGGGTCTGAGGACTAGCTGACGTCATGCGCCTGACCCTTCTGAACGGAGTGTCAGATGGTCGAGGCGCATGAGCGCTGGGCCGTACGGAGCATTAATTGCGGGTCTGGCAAGGGGCGGAGGAGAAGGATGTTGGTCGGCCGGGCTTCGAGTATAAATAGTCGGTTGGTGAACTTCATTTACTCAGGTTGGTACTTCTCTCTAAAATTACTATTCACTTCTCTCTCTAGAAAAAGGAACTGACTTGGGCGTTGGAGTGCTAACGAGTCCTCCTCGAGACTCAGGTTAGCAGTGCAGCGTGCAGGTTCGAGCGTGCTGGAAGGGTCAAGCGCGAGGGTTCGGGACGCCCAGTTACCGGGCTCGAACAATTGGCGCGCCAGGAAGGGGGACGCATAGGTATTGAGAAAGCAAGGTGTCATGGAGGAGCTAGGGGCAGGCGAAGGAGAAGGGGGACCGGCGGGGGCCGAGGCGTCACGGGAGGCACCTGTGTTGTCAGGTGAGGCGCATGCGGTGGTAGACGACGGGGCGCATGAGACTGCCCAATCCGAGGGGGTCACTCTCACGAAGGAGCACCTACTGCACATAGTCGAGCAACAGGAACAGGCGCTGGAGGCACTTAGGAGAGAAGTGGAAGTGTTGAAAAGAGGAGCTGAGGCGGGCCCCCCATTAGGAAAGAGACGGGACAGAGAGGACGAAGAGGAGGGGGCGTCCAGCGCGTTGAGGCGCATGGAAGACTTAGGGCACCTGACGAAACATATGGCCTCGGATTTCGACGAGCACAATGGATGGGCGCACCGACGACAGGGGAGAGCGTGGGGGGTGCGGCAGCCCCTCGCACGAAGCATACTGGCCGAGCAAGCGAACTCTGTCATCCCGGCGCTTCCCACTTACGATGGGGCGGCCGATCCAGAGGATCACTTGAACAACTACTTCACGAAGATGCAATTATACAACAGCTCCGACGCCACCTTGTGCCGCGCCTTTCCTTCGACGTTTACGGGCGTGGTGTTGGACTGGTACCACCAGATAGAGGAGGGGCGGATTGACAGCTTCGAGCAATTCGCGGCCCTTTTTCTTTCAAAGTTCGCCAGCCGGAAGCGCCGGAGCCTCACCATAAGCGCCTTGTTCAAGGTCAAGCAGCGGAAAGGCGAGGCGCTCAGGGACTTTTACGAGCGCTGGATGTCAGTAGCCATGGCGGTCAAGGATGTGAAGCCCCCGGTCCTAGGGTGCTGCCTGGACGAGTGCACCACGAGCGAAGAGTTGTGCCGAGCGCTGTCTAAGAGGGACGTGACGTCGACCGAAGATTTGGATCGGAGGGTGCAAAAGGTGATCATGTTGGAGGAAACATTGGCAGCAAGAAGGCTGGAGAGGAGGGACATGCGCCCAGAAGAGGTAGAGGTGGCCAGGGCGCTTCGCCCACCGCCCGTCGCCACGCACCACCCACATTTCCCGGCAAACACCCGACGCCCGGAACCACCGCGTTTTCCACCCAGGGGGGCTGGGAACTTCACCGAACTTAACGACTCGCTGAAAAACGTGCTGCAATTCGTGAAGGATAAGGGATACCATATTCGCTGGTCGGGGCCAATGAGAGGGCGCCCAAACGAGCAGAACCTCGACAGGTATTGTGAGTTCCACCGGGAGAGGGGCCACCACACTGCTGATTGTTATCAACTCAAGTCAGAGATCCTTGGGCTGGTGGATCGAGGAATGTTGAACGAGTTCGTGAGAAAAGGGGAAGATAGGACGCAGAGGGCCTTTGCAGTGCATGAGGAGAAGAAGGGGGAGGAGCAGGAGAACGCCCCGGTTGAAGAAGGGAAACCCCCCATGGAAAAGGAAGTTCTGCCCCCGCCCCCATTTGACATAGAGCCCGAGGCACACCCGGAGCGTGTGAGGCTCACGATTGAGGCCATCTCGGGTACGCTAGACCTCAGACAGAAGCTTGACGAGGGTAGGCGCCTGAAATCGGCCACGGCGAGCGCCCGCGCGGCGGTACATATTCACTTTAACGAAACCCCGGAGGAGGCGTGTCGGGTCCCCTCCGTGGAAGCGCTTGAAGTCAGGGGGGTGGTGGCTGGATGCGAAGTGAAGAGGATGCTGGTGGATACGGGAAGTTCGATGGATGTCCTCTTCAGATCCACGTTCGAGAATATGCAACTATCGCCGAGCATAGTCAGGCCGGCAGAGTCCGTCCTAATCGGGTTCTCGGGGGTGCCGGCAAGAGTGATGGGGCGTGTGCGCCTGCCGGTAACTTTGGGGGACGAGGCGCATCATGTGACGCACACGGTGGAATTCGGGATCGTGGACTGCCCTTCCCCGTACAATGCAATCCTGGGACGTCCATTGTTGGCACTCTTTAACGGGGTGGCGTCC